GTGAGTGTCCGGGCACATGCTCTGTGTGTGTTCTACTGCTTTTACAAGACTGTATATCCGTGAGTGTCCGGGCACATGCTCTGTGTGTTCTGCATGTCCGTGAGTGTCCGGGCACATGCTCTGTGTGTTCTACTGCTTTTACAAGACTGTATATCCGTGAGCATCCGGGTACATGCTCTGTGTGTGTTCTACCAAAGCACTGGTCAGCAGCTTTTGAGGAACACTGGTCCTCGATCGCCCACAGGCTGAAAACTACTGCTCTACCGCCTCCGCTTCGAGTTTCGGTCCAAGTTTTGGCATAACGAGTTGAGGCCCTGGGTAGTGTTGCCTCTTCTTCTACTAGGGAGCTTCCCCGTGCGCTTCTCCCTGTGCCTCACCTGGTGTGTGCTTGTGTTATTTGTCATCGGTGTCATCGCCATCTTTGGGCCACCTCCCATTCCCTGAGATGTAGGTGATGCAGACGATGGCGGGGCCATTGTTGTCCGAGTCTTTCCCAGAGACAGACTGAAGAGCAGTTACCCTCCACGTGCGTCTGACTTAAGCCAGACACGGATTTGTCTGAGAAGACCTGTGCTCCGTGGGGTTTTCAGTGGCTGGTTTTTCAGCAGCGAATCACCAGTTCTTTTTCTCCGGCACCTCTGGGTGGACTTGAACCCCTCACCTCTCTGGTGGCAGCTGAGTGTAGTAACCATTTGCATCACGCTGGCACTCCAAGGCACAGACAGGACCATGGATAAAGGCAGTGTAGGGTCAGTAGCCGTTTAAAGCTTCATAATGCTCATGTCCAAGAAACGTATACATTGTGCTCCAAATAATGCTTTCTGTGCATTTGATATTCAAGTATTTTCTGAATGAAGGAATGAGCAGCTCCTTTATACTTTTGAATCATATGTTCAATCATATTGATGGCTTTGTGACTTGAGGGTAAATACGTCAGCTGTGAAGGACAGAACTTTGGACCAGATTCTTACTTAGCCTCAAAAAGGAGATCGCCCTTTCCAGCTGCAAGCGGGGGGTAAGGGGAACAAGAAGGGGGATTTGATCTATTGAGCATTTTCTACGTGTCAGACCCCCTGGGTTATCGTGCTTGGCTGCTCACGGACTGCAAGATGGGACGTCAGTCCATCCACAGGCAGCCACATCGGGGACACCTGGTCTCTGGCCCCCCAGCAGCCTCGTAGGGAGGGCACAGTGTGCCCCGGGGGTGGGGGTGGGGCAGAGTGTCCATGGTCCCTGGCTGACAGAGGCCTGGAGCTGGGAGGGGCCCAGGCCGCTCTGGGCCTTTCACTCCAGCCTCCCTTTCTTGGTATCTGCCAGAGTTGAACGCAAACTTCTTTAAGCCACAAGGATGTGTCTCCAGCGGGCAGGTGCCCCAAAGGAAGCCACTTCTGACCTTCCCTCTCCTTGCTTTCTGGTCATCTGCCGCCTGTATCGCTTCTTCCACTTTATTCAGCGCCGATGACAGAAGTCCTTACAAGTTGAGCGGAGAAGCCACATGAGCCCATGGGTTTTTAAATGCAGGCCCTTACTGAGACATGAAACCCAAGGCCAGGTGTGTGAGAAACAGACGTCTCTTGGCCTGACTGGGGAGGTCTGGTCATGTGCCAGCCCTCGGGACGGGTGCTGAGGGCCCAGACAGTCCAGTGGGAAACGCTCTGGGTGTCCCTGGAGCCCAGGACCGATCTTGCCAAGCAGGAATTGCCCAGGCTGAGCAGGAACTGGCCTCTGACCTCCGCCACACTATTTATAATCCTCCCCTGCCCTTCCGGGGTCACCCCACTCCTCTATCTCTGGAATGTTGTGTACAGGTCACAAGACATGGCACGGTTATCTTTCATGGGGACAGTGCTGTTGTGCTTTCTAACAATGGACAGAACCAGCTATTTCCAGTTCGCAACTCCCAGGCAGGGGGAGACGCTGTGCGAACTCTCTTGCCTCTCTTCTGGTAGGAGGTGGAGGTGAACGTGTGAAAGAGAATGTGGCTTTCAAAGGATTATCCTTGGGGAATGAGCTCATTTCGAGTGTGGAATGCTTGGAACTCTGAGTGCTTTCCATCCTTGCCCAGCATCTGGGGATCGGAGTGTCAGCGATCCAGGCGTGAATCCTGAGTTAAGGTCACACATAGGTCAGTTAAACATCCACAGAATAGTTACTGAACATCTAGTCGAGGTGAGGCTCTGTGAAGCACGTTCCTTGGCCTCTGAGAGTTGCAATCACAGCTGTAAAGAGACACACAGGCCTGCCACGAGAGAGGGTAAGAGCATGTGAGCGTCCAGTGAGTGATCTCCTTCAGCACCGCCGGTGTGGGAGCCATCGCTCTGTGTGTGTCTGGGATTTGTGCCCCACTGCAGACACACAGCAACCCACGGGCTGGCCCTGCAAGGGGCTCTGTCTTCGTGCATGGGGCAAACGAAGTCCCCGGCCGGCTGAAGAGAGCAGGGAGGCTTCTCCGGATTGACCCAGCAGGGTGAGAGGCTGGAGGGCGGCTGGGGTGCAGGTTGTAAGGAGAAGCGATGAGGAAACTCTGGAAGGAGTTTGGGGTGGAGCTGAGAATGGAAGGTGGGTAGGATTTGGTAAAGCAGGAGGGGAGGGCATTTCTAGTGAGGAGCTGATATACTTGGAGAGGCTGCTTGTTGCTCTGCCACCACTTCCCCCCAGTTGGGCCGCCTTAAAGCAACCGAGAGTGACTACTTCTGATTGTCCTGTGGGTCAGGGTTCAGGTCGGGTGTGGTTGCCAGTTCTGCTTCTTCTGGCATTGGCCTGAGTCACCCTCTTGGCTACGGTCAGCCGGCCCCTGCCTGGGCTGGGCTGGGCGATCCAGCAAGACTTCCGTCACAGGTTTGGTGCCTCTCTCTCTCTCTCTCTCTCTCTGGCAGCCTTGGGGAACTCAGACCTACAGGGACAGTGGAAAAGAGTGGGCCTCCGAGTGGAAATCCAATCCATGTACGTGACGATGGTGCTGCTGCTAGGTGCCATCCAGTCCACTGGGACTCAGGCTCCCCCACTCTCACCCCCACCCCCATATGTACCCAGTCCAATGGCCCTGTAGGGTTTTCAAGGCTGTCACCTTTTGGAATCGGATTGCCAGGCCTATCTTCGGAGTCACTGCTGGCTGAGTTGAACTGCTGACTCTCTGGCTCGCAGTCGAGCACTAACTCGCTTGTACCACCTATGGGGTTGTCCCCGTTCTCTGTCACCAGCGCAGGTGAAGGAGCTCCGTTCCAATTCAGTTACACAGGTGGCATTCTTCCTTGGCCTCTGCCCACCAGACCCAGATCAGACCTCCAGTGAACAGAGAGGCCTGGTCTGCCCAAGGCTCAGATGCCAGCCAGAAGCTTGGGGGTCCCCATCATAGCCCCACTTCTGATCTGGCCACAAATCGGTGGCTTCCCTCTATCCCCCCCTCCCCAGGATGTAAATTTGGGGGTCTCTAAGACCCTTTGCAATTATTTTAACTAAAAACTCAGGGATTTCCATTATACTCTTAGGAAACCAGCTCAAGGTTCCCTACCCCGCTCACTTCTAACCTGCTGGCGCCCACAACTCCCCTGGGCGCCATGATTCACTGCAGTGACTCACAGAAAATGTTATCCGTAACATTACAGTGTTATTATAGCTAACAGGAAGAGAAGCAGAGGATTTCTGGTGCAGAGCGTTCATTTCACAAAAGGGATGTGCTGCTTTCTCATGGGCATCCACGCCTTCCCCCCGCCACTTCATTGGGACCTACTTAAGTAGCCAAGAGAGAAAGATGAGGCTTCCTACTCCTGTAAATAGTTAAAGGCCCACTCTTCCAGTCTCTGGTGCTCTGGGAGCATCAGGTATTGGTACAGACATAGCCAAGTCCAAGAACCGCTCCACACTCAAAGAATTGCGAAATAGGCACAGAAATGGCATCTAGAAATCCTGACCACAACTACAGTATATGAATCTCTTAAGGAGGTGGACTCCAAGTTCCTGATGCACTTTGTCAAGAAGCACACGAAGGGCCTGCAGAAAAAGCAACAACGCCAAGGCCAAGGAGGCTCATGCCGAGGTGATCAAGGCTCTCGTGAAGCCCAAAGAGCTCCAGGCTAAGATCCCAATGGGTGTCAACCGCAGGCTCAGCCGACTGGTCTACATTGCCCACCCTAAGCTTGGCCAGTGGGCTGGGCACATATTGCCGAGG